TCTCTGTGTCCGCACACACACGGCACAGGTAAAGAAACGTGGTAAAGGAAGTGCAGGCACCATGGTGAAAGTGTGTGTGTGTTTACCTGTCCAAGAACGTCAAACATATGAACAGTTACAAACAAGAAGAGGCCATCCAGTCGTTTGGGAGTGAGTAGCTAATTGATCTGAGGATCCCATCCAGCTGCTGCTAGAAGGAAACCAGGGTAATCGGCTTCAACGGCATGGCTGGACACCTCGTTCCACACTCCTGCCACCTATTGTGTAAAGAGGTGCCCCCCCCCCCCTTCTCTGTTTTTAAATGTATTTCCTTGTCGTTTCCAACTGTGTCCTCTGGCTTGTGTTTCACCGGTGATACTGAAGACGTCTGCTGGCCTGACTTTGTCAGTGCCCTTTGAGAAATTTGAATATTTGGATCACATCCCCTCAGAATGTTCTCTATTCAAGACTAAAAACGTCCAGGTCCTGTGTTCTGTCTGCGTGGGTCATTCTTCTGAACCAAGAAGAGTATCTGCTTGTTCTGCTCTGGACTCATTCCAGATCAGCGGTGAACTTTTTGGAATGTGGTAACTAAAAACTGTACAAACTCTAAACAATTTCTCTCTATCGCATTATACTATTTTAACACATCATCTCTTGATTTAAATTCTGCACTTTTAACTATAAATATTCTCACATTTTATTCGCCTTTTTTAAATTTTTTTTTGCTACACTATCTGGAAGATATGAATGACATGTTAACTTAGACACCCAAATCTTTACCATAACTGACCCTTTCAATCTCCACAATGTTTCCCATTGTGTATTTATAGATAAAAATGTAGAGTCACACCACAGTGGTACAGTAGTCAGCATTGCTGCCTTGCAGAGCTGGGGTCCCTGGTTCAATTTCTGAGGTGCAATCTGTATGTTCTCCCTGTGGGTTTCCTCCCACAGTCCTAAGCAATGCTGTTGTTAGTTTTATTGGATCCTGGGAAAACTGGAGCTGGAGTGAGTGTGTGTGTCCATGTGTGCCCTGCAATAGTCTGGTGTCCTGACCAGGGTGTATCCTGCCTTGAACCCCTTGCATGCTGGGATAGGCTCCGGCTCCCCCTGTGCCTCTGAACTGGGAGAAGTGGTTAAAAGATAGATGGATGTTGTTGCTACAAGCATGGAATATTCAGCACTTGTCTACATTAAACTTGTCATCTGTTTATCTTAGGCCTGTCACGCTAGACTGATCTACGGATGATTTACAGCCTGCGCCTGAACCAGAACATGACCCGCCTGCCTTTCCACAAGCTCTTCTCCCCCCGGTGGCCATTCCTGGAGCAGTCCGCTCGGCCCCACGACACTACTTTGAAGAAATTAGCTGTGTGATCATGTCTTGTAAACAATTCTAGACCCAGGCTAGAAACATTGTGAACTGACAACTCCTTGATTACAAAAATGATTACAGAGAGGTGTGCACTACTGTTTACAGTGTCATTCTCTTGTACACATAAAACAGATTAGAGAGCATAGTTATAATACAGATGATTAGAAATAGGGGTGGCACAGCGCAGTGGATGAGACAGGCTGTGGGCTCGAGTCCCTGCTATAGGCCCTGCTGTTGTACCTTGAGTGAGGCGCACTACCCCACTTGTTCCAGTCCACCCAGCTGTAAAAGTGGGGACCAATGGCTGGGAGGTAATCTGCTTACACTGACGTCCCATTTGGGAAGGGGGAGAGAGCCACATGCTCTCCAGTCCGCTTCAGGAGCTCTGGCCCAGTGAGCAGCTGTGGCTCTGGTCAGGACTTTGCCTTCTGGTGTTATGTATAAAAAGTTATACCAGTGTTTACTGCCTGTGATCAATGATGCTGCTGCATAGACATAAATATCTGCTCTTCACTGACCTCTACAGGCCACCCGCGGGACTAAACAAAATTCCCAGCTTATGTGTTAATGAGATGGTGATCAAAGCTCGTGGCTGCCACCTGCTGGCAGTTGTCTTATCAACTATAAACTGTATTCAACGTTAGGTCATTACTAAGACAAAATATTGGAGAGGATCTGAGACTAAAGTTCTAAAGTGTTGTTTTTCAGCTGTGTGCTTTGCTGTGCGTGCCTCCGGAATGGGATCCTGTCATTGATAACCCTTCTTCTAAACTTGCAGTGATGGAGACTTCAATGTGATGAAAAGATAGAGCTGCAGAGCAATACATGTCCAACTCGAAATCTTCAAAAATGAGACCTCCAGGGCACGAGCATGTAATGTGGCTTGAGATTGGTCTTAGAAAGGAGATCTGTGAAGACTGATTAAACACAACAGGAACTTAACAGGTATCACGAACACTGCTACTGTCAGAAAACAGTCCTGCTACACCCTGACTCCATGGAACTAGTCCAACGCTAACACTGAACAAAGCTCCCACCTAGTGGACATATCGAGGTATTGCAGAATTGATCTCTTGCCTCATTGACCTAGCAACAAGTGTATAACGTATATGCTTGCAGCTGATAAGGTGCCTACTACTTCATTTATGTTTTTATTTTCTTGAATTGTTATTGTCTTGTCTCTGCAGTACTTGTCAAGGTAACTAGATCAGACTTCGCCTCACGCAGGGAACCACACAAAAGCAGCAGAGCCACACTGCAGGCCGGCACAACAGGGATGCTCCAGCACCATTTAAATACATGCAGCCACATTCAGAATTCAATCTATGGCCAAGCCAGCAAAACTGAAACAAGCTTGTGCACTAAGGTATAGTGCCGTCTGTCCACGGTGGAGCTTTTAGTCTCCTTAATTAAAAC